TCAGTATCGGACAAAACCCCTACCGCCCACCATGAAAGCTGGAACGCCCACTATTGGGCGGTAGGGACCAGATTGACTACCACTGATCTAGATTAGGGGTGTCAAACTCACGTCATCATGGCGGTGTCACATGACATATCGTGACTCCCCCCCCTTTGTTAAACCAGACATGGGTGTGGCCAGTGGGTGAGGCATCCAGGGCCCCTTGACAGTTTGACAACCCTGACCTAGAATTAGCAGAGGAACCGACTCTCTCATTCTTAGAGCAGGGAAAGGAATGATTAGTTGTAGATTGAATAATAACTCAGAACTAATTGGCGACTCATGCCAAATGCACAATTCCTTTTTGTTGAAAGGATAATATCACATGGCATGGGTGTCACAGAGATGGCACCAATTAATACATGAGATCTCTCTGCAGCAATTCAGACACTGCTTGGCAAGAACCATCTAGATCAGTGGTAGTCAACCTGGTCCCTACCGCCCACTAGTGGGCGTTCCAGCTTTCATGGTGGGCGGTAGGGGTTTTGTCCGATACTGAAGCATTTTCCTTTTTTTAAAATTTAATTGACTTTTTAAAAAAATTTCATAGCATTATTTAAAATTTTTCATTAGGTTTTCATAAAATCACCATTACTATGGAACCAGTGGGCGGTTAGAAAATTTTACTACTAATAGAGATACAAAAGTGGGTGGTAGGTATAAAAAAGTTGATTACCCCTGGTCTAGATCTTTTTGGATCCCGAGCTTGTATTCAAGGGTGTTGGCTATTCCTGCCAGTTTAATCTTCTATCTCTTCTGAGGACTGTTAACTGAGACCCAGATATTTTCTTTGGGGGGGGGGGGGGTTATATATATTTAAATATATACAGTATATATTGTATTATTTTTTATTTTTCAAAGAAAGAACTAGAGTATCTGTTCTGGAAAGTCTTGGAAACCAAATGCATATTGAGATATTGAATAATGAAAGAATGAAGGATGAAACTTTAACATAAATGGATGTGAAGAGCTAAAAAAAAGTGTGTTTGTGTTTGTTTGTTTGTTTGTGTGTGTGTGTGTGTGTGTGTGTGTGTGTGTAAATATTAAGATGTATGAAGGAACAAAAAGGTTTACAGCTGAATGGTGATACTAAAAGGTATGTGTAAACAACATGAAACAATGAAAATGAAATTTAATACCTGTAATAATATTGTGCTTATTTGTATTGAAATGTATGACACCCAGGTATCACATCATTCACGCAGTGATATGTATAAATATATAATAAAAAAACTTGAAATAAAAAGAAAGAAAGAAAGAAAGAAAGAAAGAAAGAAAGAAAGAAAGAAAGAAAGAAAGAAAGAAAGAAAGAAAGAAAGAAAGAAAGAAAACCAGATGTCTGGGTGATGATTCAAACTTACCCATATAGTACAACAACACTGTTGTGGCATTTTACAAATAACAATTTTAATAGAAAGTTTAATGAACAATTTCTTTCTTTTTTCCTAAGACATCAACAGAGGGAGAGGGGGGAGTACACCACACCAAGGGATTACAAATAATTGACACACAATGCTCAAAGCGCTCCAAACAAGTTTCACGTATTAATTCAAAGCTGCACCCCAAAACTTGGTCCCAAATCTGACCCCTTGGATCTTCAAAGGTGAAATATGTATGGGTCAGAAAAATACGTACGATTTCCATGTACAGGTAGTCCTCGAGTTACAACCATTCATTTAGTGGACATTTGAAGTTTTAACAGCACTGGAACAAAAGTGACTTATGAACCAGTTTTCACACTTAACAACCGCTGCAGCATCTCCTTGGTCGTACGATCAAAATTCAGGTGCTTGGCAACTGAAATATATTTATCCCAATTTGCACTGCGCCAGGGTCATGTTTTCACCATTTTGTTAACTTTCTCGGCCGGCTTCCAACAAGCAAAGCCAATGGAGAAAACCAGACTCACTTAACGGCTGCAGTGATTCGCTTAACAACTGTGACAAAAGATTGTAAAATAAGGTACATCTCAACTGCCTTGCATAATGACAGAAAATTTGTGGTTGTGATTGAGGACTACCTGTATTAACTCTCAAATCCACACATTCCCACCCAACACAGTAAAAGGCAACTGTGGCTGAAGATGGAATAGTATAACAATTTGGCCTTGTAAATATTTTAGGGGTGAAGACACTGTTTGGTTACTTTGGAACTAATGGGAATATCTGACTAACTGATCCCAATTAAATCCAAGTTAATTGGGCAGCAAATAATTTTACTAGCCATACTCTATGACAGGGGTGTCAAACTCGATCTCATTGAGGGCCACATCAGGATTGTGTTTGTCCTTGCGGGACTGGGAGGGGGTGGCCAGGAGTGGGCATGGCCAGCTCAACACCACTCGTGGTAGATTTGGTAGATTTGGTAGATTTATTATAATTTATAGGCCGCCCTTTTCCCTGAGGGGACTCAGGGCGGCTTACAAAAACACGGGGAAGNGTAACATTTGTTATATTTATGCTGATAAATGAATAAAGGGAGACTAGTATAGATCTATTTCAAGCTATTTAGCTCTCATCAGCTAGCGATTCCCAAACATGGGTATGGCTAGCTGATGAGAGCATATATATATATACACACCCTTTTTATAACCCTATAATCCCTTAATTCTGGGTAGCGTCAGGGCGACTAGATGGAACTAAGCATTTACTGGCCAGATGCCTCCCCCTGATGCTTTTCTCTTTGCGGCCTTGGACAGAAACGTCTGCCGCTACCTAGAATCGAACTCTCAGTCTTCCAAGTGGGAAGTGAGCATCTTCACCACTTGGCCACCATGCCACTCAACACTATATCTGCATAACACTAAAAGTTTAATTTGGCACCACACAGTATCGTTACTGTTACTTTCATTTGCCTTCTAAAGAACCACTGTTGGCTGAGCATGTCAAAAATACGCTCAATAGGTTCAGCAACATGGAAGATTTGACTTACTGTGATTTCTGGAGGTTTCTGGGCCCTCTGCTCTTCAACAGATCTTTCTGCTTGAATTTTGGATTCCAGCTGTGCTTGAGATGTTGTTAAGATCCCCTGGAGGGAAGCAGAGACCCCACAAGATAGAACCAGATTACAGCAACTCATTCACAGTTATTGTTCATGTGAGATCAATGAAAATGATGTTGGCTTACCTGAACAGTCATTCTCTGGGTGCTGCAGGAGAGTCCAAGCATGGGTTAACACAGCCTATCTGCCCTAGGACTGAGTAGATTTTTCTTTGGTCACGCCTCCTTTGCCTCACTGAGGACAGTTTAAAAATGAAGTTTTGTCTGCTGTAGGATGCCCTTCAGGTATCCTAATCGTAATGCTGAACCTTGGACCTTGCAATAAACCCGGGGTTGGACTCTCCCACAGTGCCCAGAGAATGACCGTTCAGGTAAGCCAACGGTCATTCTCCTGTGCACTGCTTGGAGAATCCAAGCATGGAACATACCCAAGCTATTTTGTCCGAGGGAGGGTTGAAGTCATGTCCAGATTGTCCGGAGCAGAGGCAACTTGCTGCAAAACACGTCTTCCGAACGAGGCTGAGGCTGAGGCAAAGGTGTCAATTTTATAATTTCTGATTAAAGCTGTGGGGGATGCCCATGTAGCAGCTCTGCAAATGTCAATGATGGACGCTTGGGTTGCCCAGGCTGCTGTAGTGGCGGCACTCCTTGTGGAGTGTGCCGTCACACGACCTGGCACGGTCCTGCCCTGATGTTCATTTTGATGCAGGCCCGCAGCCAACGCCCAATGGTTGAGGATGAGACCTTACGACCCAGGCTGAAACGACACAAAGAATGACTCTGAATGTCTGAAGCCCTTAGTCTGTTCATATATATGCGGACGGCTCGTTGAACGTCCAGCTTGTGCAAGACGCGTTCCTTGGGGTGCTTAGGCTTGGGCAAAAGTTCAGGAGGATCACCTCCTGAGATCTGTGAAAGTGAGAATTCACTTTTGGTATGAAAGAAGGGTCGAGACGCAGGATGACCCGATCATGATGGACGATACACAGGTCCTCCCTGACAGAGAACGCCGCAATCTCTGATACCCTCCTAGCAGAAGTAATTGATACTAAGAAGGCAGTTTTAAAAGTCAAGGGCCGAATATTGGCAGTTCTCATAGGTTCGAATGGAGCAGTGGTCAGGGCTTGCAGAACATATGGTAAATTCCAGGACGGGTACCTGTGTATCGCCTGAGGTCAAATATTGGATACTGGATGTTGATTTTAATCTGGTTCACCAAACTAGTAGTTACAAGAACTGGCTGACCCTGCCCACACCGCACCGCACCGCCCCTCCCAGGAGTCTCCACACGGCCCGTTCATCACGTCAGGTAAGCGCAGGGCCCACACAGCGCCTCTGAGAGGGTGAAAAACCAGCCTACCAGAAGTACCGGAAGTCTGGAATCAGATCCGTTTCCGGCCTCCGGAAGGCTTCTTTTCGTCATCCCGGAGGCTTGAGGAAAGCCTCCGGAACCTAGGGAAGGTAAAAACACCCTCCCCCCCACCAGCCGTCGTGGTGCAGGAAGCTGACTAGGCCACTCCCACCATGGCCACGCCCACCCAGCAACTGGGCAGAGAACCTGTTGCTGAAATTTTTCAATCCACCCCTGATCATAAGTCACCTTATTTTAGTGCTGTTGTAACCTTAACCCGCCATTAAATGAATGTCTGTAAGTCAGGGAATACCTGTATATTAAAAAAAAAATAAACCTCTTGCATTCATGTATTCACACACAGGACAAAATAATTCCATTTCATTCTGCATACAGTACACAAAACTGGAAACACACATGCTTGCATTTGGGCAGTTTACCCCAAGACAATAGAAATAGCACTTAGACTTATATATCTTGGGGGTCTTCTAGTCCAGCCCCCTGTTCAAGCAGGAGATTCTATACCATTTCAGACAAGTGACTGCCCAGTCTCTTTTTAAACCTCCACTGATGAAACACCCACAATTTCTGAAGACAATCTTTTCCACTGGTTATTTGTCCTTAATTCCAGGTTGATTCTCTCTTTGATTAGTTTCCATCATTTTGTCTCCTGCCTTCTGGTGCTTTGGAAAATAAATTGACCCCCTCCTCTTTGTGGTAGCCTCTCAAATACTGGAATACTGCTATCATGCTTTAACAGCCCTCTCTAGGTGTTTATTACTGACTCCAACAATCTGGATCCTCATTTTACCGACCTCAGAAGGAAGGAAGGATGAGTCAACCTGAAGCTGTTCTGGGAAAAATGTTTGCTCATTCTTCAACTATGCCAACTGTTAGAGATAATATAGGTGGCATCTGGATGGGCACTCAGAACTCAACTTTTAAAAAAACCAAAACAAATCTTCCAAACATCTAACCAGCTGATTGTGGCACCTGGCTCATTTTTTTTTTTTTTTTGATTTTATTTAACATTTATAGGCCGCCCTTTTCCCTGAGGGGACTCAGGGCGGCTTACAATATTCTCATATCATTCTGGCTTCTTCTCTGGGTTTGGAACTGTTTCTCTTGTGGTTATTTTTTTAATCTCCCACTTAATGTTCTCACTTAATGTTCAACATGCAGCTAAGGAGAAGAGGTGAATAAGGCAAATATGGATCTCTCACAGTTGAGCAAACCACAATCAGTGCTGGGTGTGGTAGCCAAAGGTTAGCTTACATGGTGAAGAATGCAACAAGAGACTGAAACAAAATCACATCTAATAAGGACTGTTTGTCCGGAGTTGCGAAACAAGAGCTCAAACCATGTGAATAATTGTTTTTTTTTAAACCGAAGGAAAAATATGAGCAATCAGTTGGCAGAGACGTGTGAGAAACATATTAATAAACTGTTCATTAGACTAAATTGCAGTGTTAAGTAATTCTCAGTTGTGCCACAACTGATTAGTATGTTAAAAAAAAAATCCCCAACATATAGAAAGGTAGTGTGGAAGAACTTCCTTCTTCTCATTATGCCTGCGTTGTGAGTTAACAGTTGTATACAAAAGAGGGTAGGAAAAGCTTAAATACCCTGTTTCCCCAAAAATAAGACCTCCCGGGATAATAAGCCCAATCAGGCTTTTGAGCGCATGCGCTAAAATAAGCCCTCCCCAGAAAATAAGACCTCCTCTAAAATATTTAACCACATGCATAGCCAGTGCCCGCCATTTCCTGGGGGCAGAAAGGGGAACATGCCCCATGTGTTCCACATGCACCTGCCATCCACGCAGAATGCCGTTCCTGCAAACCCCAGCTACCACGCTCTTTCTCTTAGTGGCAGCCGCAAAAAGAGAGGCAGGCCCAGCGATACTAGGTTGGCAAGAGTGTGCCAGAAACAGAGACAAAACTTCCAGCCCTCTCTGGATTAGCTGATCCACAGGCCACAGGCAGTAGTTAAGGTGCCTTCTTCACCTCAAAAATAATAAGACTTCCCCAAAAATAAGGCCATGCGCTTATTTTGGGGGATTAAAAGAAAATAAGACACTGTCTTATTTTCAAGGAAATGTGGTAGGTATCTATAGTTGGCAATGGCATAATTCTATCAGGAGTAACTATAATGTTCTGAATGCACATGTATAAAACAAGAAAAATTCCAGAGCCCCCTTTTCTATTTCCTTCTAACATCCCTACTTTTCATTTGGAAAGAGGAGAAAGAGATAGAGAANGTTTCCTCCTCACTCCAGGGAAAGTATCCAAGATCTCCATTCCCTCCCAACTCCAGGGGAAGGATACTGCAAAATCTCCATTCCCACCCTTGCCGGTTTTCCAAACTACTCAAAATTTCTACTATCGGTTCTCCAGAACCTGTCAGAACCGGATGAATTTCATCCCTGAATTGGGAGCCCTGAACAAGCTTATTTGTTTTCTGTCCATAACTTGTTGAGGAATTGGAAGAAATATTTTTTTTTTCCGATTTATATTCTGATTTGCTACCGAGAACTAAAGTATGGTTTGGGAACTCTGGGAGTTGAAGTCATTGAGAGAATAGAATAGAGCTGGAAGGGACCCTGGAGGTCTTCTAGTCCAGCCCCTGCTCAGCAGGAGAAACTATAGCATTTCAGATAATTGATTGTCTAGTAGTCTCTTGTTAACATCTTAAAAGTTGCCAAGTATGAAAAATAATGCTTTAGATGGAGACTCATCAGGCTAGGATTGGGTTACCCATCTAAAACAATTGCAGGCAAAACTTTTATGACATTTTAGAGAATAGAGCTGGAAGGGACCTTGGAGGTCTTCTAGTCCAGCTCCTGCTCAAGCAGGAGAACCTAAAGCATTTCAGATAATTGTTTAGTAATCTCTTCTTAAAAACATCCCGTGATGGAGCACCCAGAATTTCTGGAGGCAAGCTGTTCTACTGATTAATTGTCCTCACTGTTAGGAAGTTATTCCTTAATTCCAGCTTGCTTTTCTCTTTGATTAGTTTCCACCCATTGCTTCTTGTCCTGCCCTCTGATGCTTTGGAAAATAATTTGACACCACCACCCCTTCTTTGTGAAAGCCCCACAAATACTGGAACACTGCTATCATGCCAATCCTAATTCTTCTTTTCTTTAGACTAGCCAAACCCAAATCTTCCAGTCGTTCTTCGTACGTTTTAGTCCCCCAGGCCTTTCATCATCCTAGTTGGTCTTCTCCGAATCTCAACATCTTGCAGTATTCCAGGTGTGCCCTTACTAGGGTTTTATAAAGCAGTACTTAATACTTCATGTGATTTTGATTCTATGTCTCTGTTTATACAACCAAGGATTATAATAGCTTTTTTGTCTGCTGTTGCACGCTTTTGGCTCATATAAAAGTGATCGTCCACTAGGATTCCAAGGTGCCTCTCACAGTTACTGTTTTTTGAGCCAGGTCTCGCTTAATCTGCACTTATACCTTTGGTTTTTCCTGCCTAAATGTAAAACTTTTCTCCACATTAAAATTCATTTTGTTTGGGTAGGGCCCGCCCATTGTTCAACCTCATTGTTGAGGTCCAGCCCCAATCGTAACGAATGCATATGCGTTGTTTTTAACATGTTTTTATTGTCATTTTTTAATTATTTTTCTTTCTTCGATGTAAGCCGCCCGGAGTCCTCCGGGATT